TCCTTTACTCAAATGGTTAAAGTTCCTCTTTTTAGTTGATTAAACAAGCTTTAAACCTCAAAATGACAAAGAGTGTTCATGGTATACCTCCAAGGCACCAAAACTCCGAAAATGAGGCACACAAGGGACACTCTACACAGCACCAAGGTTCTGACTTGAGCAAGACACAAATAGGACTACCAAGCTTGATCCTTTAAGCAAAAAGGTAGTTTCTTGAAGCTCAAGAAACCAAGAACAAGCTCCACTCACACAAACTCAGCAAGAACAGCCCCAAAAACGCCCAATACACAGCAAGCATCAACTCAGAAATACTTCACAACTCCCTCACACTGTTTACAAGCTTAGTGTTTACAACTCTAGGAAGAAAACTCTCAACAAAGGTGACTTCTTGGACCCTTTTCATGAGCAAAGACCAAGACTTCAAGGGGAAAAGAGAACGCTGAAGGGAAGTCAGCAAAAGACTCACGTAGGCAGCCTCCAATATGGCCTAGGGTTTAGTGACATTAAGCATTTATAGGTCCACTTAAAATACAACACAATATTAACAATAATAGCTACGCTTAGCATTTTAATCCCAAACTTTGAAATCTGAATCTACTCATTTTTCCAAGAATAATCATATTTTTATTATATTTTTCCGAGCAACTTTTCGATACGCGCTTTTCATAGCCAGTATCAGTTTCTGGCACCAATTCTCATTATATTAACTTGAAACTCGTTTTACAAGTCCTATATAATATTCTAGTAACTATCATGCACTTTTCATAATTTTCCGGGATACTTTTTCGGTACGCATTTATACCGACTAGAAGAATCGGTATCTGCACTTTTCCTCCGAAAAACGACTTTCAACATTCTTAATCACTTACTATAATTATATAAGCCTTATAATAATTATTAGGGTCAATTATGGAATCATTTCCTATTTTTTTGCATAATTAATTAATTAAATTCCTTAATTAACGGTGTGGGTTCTTATATTGTGAGGTATCAAGATCCGTGCTATCTTCTTTTTATTTTTTTAACAAGTGGTTGGACCTACCACTTGTTGTGTCTATAACATGAGAGATGTTATCTCATGTGACATGAGAAAAGAGAAACCCAAAGTTAAATTATCATCTTTTTTTTTTTTGGAAACAAAATTATCATCTTTTACTTCCAACAAAAAATTTATAATATAGTTGCATGAGATACGAAATAACCCAAATTTTTATTCTATAGAGGAGCTGTTGTACAACAATAAACTATGTAATAAACATATATTATGTATCTTACCAAAAAAAAGAGCATAACATAGATCAAGCATAACCCACTTTCTCCAACATGATGGGTTAATGGATCTTGGATTTAAGATTTTGCAATATGATTTTTGGGCTATGATTGAGGAAAGGCCCAAGTAGCTAGATGGTAAGGTTGGGAATCATTAGATCAGTTTGGATTGGATCGGTTTTCACCAACTCATTCAAAAACCGATTCAATCCAAATAAATTGTATGATTTTTTTTCAGTTTTCGATTTTTCTGTTTTCGGTTAATTTAGTTTTCGATTTTCGATTCGGTTACCGCGGTTGGAATCGGTTTGCATCGGTTGATGAACACCCCTAGCTAGTGTCCTCCCTTCCCTCTTCAAGTGTCAACCGATTGTCATTTGTCAATTCAAGTAAGTTGAATATATTATTTTTTATTTATTTTAATATTATTCAAATTGGATAGAAATGCGCACTTGTTACCATAGTTATAAAAAACCGGACCGACCAGGCCGGGTCGACCCAGGAACCAGTAAATCGGTCATATAACCGGTCTGGTTGAAGCAACAGACTGGCCATGCATCAGAACCGGTGCGACCCGGTCGATTTTCATGAAAATCGGTGACCCGGTCCTAAAAAAAAAAAAATTCCAAATTTTGTTTTAAAAAAAAAAATCATAATAGACATATTTGAATTTTTTTTGCTTATTGGCTTAATTACATAATTTATGTATCTACAACACTAATATTATTTCAATTGTGCATTATGTAGAAAATTTTGATTTGATTTATAGATAGAGATGTCATTTTCTGAATTTAAAACCCCGTACCACGATCATTATATTTTTATTTGATCCTTTATTGGATAATAATATGTGATTTATTATTTTTTATATTAAAATATTTAATTTTTTTTTTAGATATTTGAATATATTTATATTTTTTTAATATAAATTATAAAATTGTATATAATTACCGGGTCATGCGGTTAAACCAATGACCCACTGGTTGAACCAATGACCCAGTACATCCACTGGGTCAATGACCGGGCCAATTTTAATAACATTGCCTGTTACTGACGAGATCAAACTAGACGAATTGAAACATGCACCTGGTACTGACGTGATCAAAGTAGACTGACATGAAACGCATTCTTAGGTCTGGCGTGTCAAGACACGTACATGTTGTACACGCGTATGTCGTTAATAACGCCATAGGCTTGGTTGTGTCTCACTTTTTTCATCACACGAAATACACATGTGTTAAGTGCTCGACTAAACACGTAGCCATCTGAAACGCGTCTTTCTGCATTAATCTGATAATACATTTGACCACATAACTAATAAGGTGGAATATTTTGGAAATAACATCTGTCAGGTCAAAAAGCCTCTCTTTAGCTATGGCATCAATGATTTGCTCATAATTCACTAGGAAAAATGTTTTCCCTTATACCTCAGGGGACTCTAGGATCGATCGGTTATTTGATGAGTGTTTTCATTGTACTTCTTGCAAAACTACTAAACAACCAACATTATCTTTCAATAAAAGCACTTCCATTTCTACTTCCTCTTTTGATCCTGTGCACTTCGATGTTTTTAGAGGCTGCTTCCATGACCACTATGGGATGTTCTTAGTATATTTATTGATGATTATTCTTATTTCACTTAGATACATCTATCGAAAAAATCGTTATAAGCTACCTCAAATTTGTATTAACTTTTCCACCATGATCAAAATTCGAAACAATCTTCAAGAGTTATTAAAGCTTTTCATGGAGATAAATGGTATGGAATATCATGACATAAACTCTTGACTTTTCTTGCTGAATAGGGTACATGCACTTTGAATTCTCAAGCCCTAGCATTTCTTAGCAGAATAATCGTGTTGAGAGAGAGCATATTCAAATCCTTAACTAAGTTCTCTTGTCTCCTCCTTTTTTAAGACTTCAACCCACCTTCTATTAGCAACAGCTTTATTAAATCTTTCTTTTATGTGCATGAGGTAATGATGCTATTCATCAAACAATTTATTTTCAATATAAAATAAAGAGAAGCCATTGGTCAACCAACCTTCCCTTTTTTCATTCTTCTATGACCAAAAATACTAATGCTGATGTACGATATAGGGGTCTTCCAGGCAAGTAACACAAGAAAATGATTAGCCCTATTAATAATGATACTCTAGGATTAACTTTCACATATCATAATTAACCTTGTCTCACATGCCGTCAAACTAAATGACCTATCTACCACATACATCAAATTATCATACAACGTTCCTATTACGTTGGAGTCAATGATACCCCATATACCATGATCACATTCTTAACTAGGCATACAAGCAATTAATCATCTAACTTCTAACACATAAAAGGTTCAATATCTACTAAGAAAATGTTTAAATCATGTTATCGACATAATCAATATGGACCTCGGCAACCACTTCTTTTCTTTTTATTTTAAAGTGATGGGGTCCACATTAATTGTGTCTATAACATAATTTAAGTATTTTCCTACAACATGACATAACTATTTCCCTTTATATATAGTCTTTATTGACTTGGTGCATGTTTGGTTCAGAAATATCTGAACGCAAATAGGGCAATTGGATTAGCTCTCATATATTTGGTTATAATATAATTATGTCTATTTGGGTGTCGTTTGAAATTGAGTAACGTAATCCGACTCAATCCCTTGTAATACATCAAGCTGTGCACTTTGTTTTAAATGAAATTAAGAGAAATTTCTTAACCAAACTCGTACTTATTTAATTGGTTTGGACTTGACTTTTCTCACGACTCAATCTATATATGATCATCCCCGTTCATGACTACGAAGAGCAAACCAATATGTGTGATAGAAAGTAGTGTTATCAATCACTTCACTCTTACTGCAAAATATGCAAATTTAACATATTTTACATTGAGTATAAGACCTTTGAACATATGTTACGTAATTAGTTGATTATATTATTTAGGGCTATCAAAATGAGTAAAACCTGTTGGGCTGATCCGTTAACTCATTGAATTTAAGTGGGTTGGACTTAAAAAAATGTTAACACTTTTGGATCAATTAATTTTCAATTTCGCTCACAAGTTGAATGGGTCAGCCTCACAACAATTCTCTCGCCCACCTATTTTTTTTTTTGGAGCATTTAATCTCATGTTATAAGAGATATTCCTCTCATGTCATAGACCAACACATGATGGATCTCACCATATGTTAAAAAACAAAAAATAAATAAATAAAAAGCACGTTTGTCGATGTATGTATAACATAAGATAACTCTCTCCTATTACATAAGAGAATAATTTTCTTTTTTTTTTAGTTAAGGGACCTCTTTTGGATTCGGTCCACATTTTGAAGAACAAATTTAAAATATTGATTTGTTGCGTGAATTAAATTTGATAACATGAATTTTCTTTGAAAACTCGAAATTATTATGAGGAAAAAAAAATAGAATTAGAAGTTTGGTTTGGTCATATTAATTTTGATGTTAATAAACTTATTTTTTATAGTTTTTAATGTATAAAACTTTGCAAAAAATAAAATGGAAGGCCCGTTTAGACCTATGAACTGTACTTCAATATTATAAGGTTCATCAAATATTAGAATAAAATGTAAAAAAGAAAAAGAAAAAGAAAAAAGAAAATATACACAACTTCAAACATTGCCGCCCAAATACCATTTCAAACACAGAGAGAGAGAGAGAGAGAGAGAGAGAGAGAGAGAGAGAGAGAGAGAGAGAGAGAGAATGATGAATGCGAAGAAAGCCGGGTCATCATTGGAGTCATTGATGTCTTCCTTCAATGCTCGCATAAATCAGCTTCAAGAGCTTGTCATTGCAAGAAACAGTGAGTTCAATTAACTTCAATTTCAACCCTAATTTCTGTACATGTATCTATGTATGTATATATTGAAGAATTCACGCGCGAATCTACATGCGTGTTCTGCAGTGTATCCGGCGAGCAGCATCGCCGATCTATCGGCGGTGGATGCTGCGGTGAGTACCATGGAGCTTCAGGTGCAGGCTATCAAGGACCGCTTGCGCGAAGAGACAGAAGCCATTCCCAAAACCAAGGCACTCTCTCTCTCTCTCTCTCTCTTCCGTGTGTGTATTTATTGTTTCGAATGAAAGGTTTGGAAAATTGGATTTCTGATTTTGCTTCAAATGCTTCCAATTTGTACCTTCGTTAGTTGTCATGTATGCTGAAATAAATAATGGATGCTTAATTGGTTCTTTGTTTTATTTTTCATGTGCTGCTTCTTCGGAATTTGAGGAAAAAATTATTTACTTTTTGCAATTATTTCAATGGACTAAGTCACTTGATGAGATATGATTGGAGATTGGGATAGTAGATGTCAGCCATTAGTTAATTTAGCGAAAGAAAAAAGTGAACAATTTTTTTATGGCTTTTGCTGTTTGCTCTTATGATAGATCAGTTTTCTTTCTATTGTTTGGAAGATGAGGGGAGAAAGTTTGGATGATTGGTTTAGGAAACTGTTAATTTTCAATTGATGACCATTGAATTTGGGCTTTTTGTCTTATTGTAGAAACTGATTAATGCATCTCTGCGGCAGCAAAAGAAACTGCAGAATATGTCTCTTCACGTTCCCTCCCAAATGGCTGATAGGATGACAATGTTAAATTCGGAAACTAGTAGATGGTAATTACATTTTTATTTTATTTAATCCTGGTATGTTCTTGGGTTTAATATTTTTGAGATGTCATTTCTGCTTGAGCAGATATCTAATTGCTGTTGTTCCTCAGTTTGTTTCCTGAATTTTCTGGACAGGATTCTGGATCATTTGAGACTTTGAAACTTGAAGAGGAGCCTGCAGCAATACCTAAGGTAAGTGAAATCTGTTTTAGTGCAAATATCATTTTGTTTCACATAAAACATTGTCTCTATCCCTCCCTCTAGTTTTAGAACTCAAAAGTCTGTATATTTATCAACTGCATGCATGTTCACTATCCATTTTCTTGAATTATGCTTATACTTTCTTCTTTTAAAAAAATTGGATTAGGCTCACACATACTTTCTCTAGCTTCAATCCTCCCAACCCTTCACAAACATTAATATTTAAATCATCACAACTGGTTGATAGTTTCGAACTATTCTATTTCCTTGCGTTTCATGTTTCTCTCTTTTCTGCTTTTCTTTTTAATCTGTTTCCCACTTGAGAGTCTGTTACCGTGGTCTCAATGAAGCTACATTATTTTCTTACCCTTACTAGATATATTGTCAAATTGTGGTTTCACATTTTCTTTTGTTTTCATCATTTTTAGGAGAAAAAGGGTCGTGGTTCTCCACCAATGTGGTATGTTACAGGAAGTGAATTAGACTCCTTGTCATCGTAAGTCACTATGCATACTTCTATTGATTAGATATTTCTCTGTAAATTGTCAGTCTGAATTCAGCTAGATCATATCTAAATGCGTCATAAAATACATCTGATGATGCAAAGATGGATTGTCAAAAAACATCTATAAATTGCTTTTAAAAAGGTTTCTTCATTGACATAATGCCCTTGTAGCTTTTGTTGCTTTCCTTTTCTCAGTGCTTTTGGCTCTCAAATTAAAATCTGTTGGAGCAATCTAAAAGTATTGCTGGCAGGTGTATCATTTGAAATGTTTTCAAGAAATGTTGACTTGATCATATTGAGGCATTGACAAGAAAAGGGTTTAGTCAGTGACTGGAGTCTTAACATAGATGCTGCCATATATTTTCTTTCTTATATTTCCTATCATTTTAAATTAATTTTTTTCGTTGGTTCTACAATTCATCGTTATCCAGGTTTTATGCCTACTTCACTGCCTAACACTAGTTCTGATATTACAGATACATGAGAGGTAGGCTTACTCTAGAGAAGGTGAACGCAGCAATCAATGATATGGCATCTTATGCTGAAACAAATGCTCAACTTATCGCAGCTCCGAAGAAGAAGGTTAACGAACAATTTTCTTTGTAGTTATAAATTGCATTGGTTACAGTTTGCCCTTGTCTTGACATATATATATTTTTTTTCCTTGTTCATGAAGTTGGCAGAAAATCTTTGGGAAAAAGCCCTGGTGAGTGAAACCTCTATTTTCATTTCAACAACTATTTTCTCAAGGAATCGCGTCGTTTCTTTGGTCATGCATTTTTGTACTTACCCATCGATCTATGCCAAAAGAAAAGGTTCTTATTGTCTTAACACTGCAGGAAATAAGAGATATTGCTACCATGGAAGGGATAAAGGGAAAACACTTTTTTGTTGAAGCTGACATAAAAGGACCAGCACTCAAACTTGACAACACTGGAAAAGCAATCTTGACGGTGAGTACTCTTGTTTCTCAATCTTTCGCTTTTGGTGAATCAAAACTTGCTCTTGAATTACTTGTAAAATAATTTGAAGTTTTAAGCGGTATTCTCATTAGTATCTAAACTAATGTATTTATACTGTATGAGCAAACAAATTACCATTTCCATCTTCCCCTTTTCCCCTGTAACATAGCGTGGGATGGTTGAAGGAAAATCAAAGGTGGCTCTCTTTCTAACCCGGACTTTATTGTAAAGATAAAGAATAGAAAAATATGTAATTCGGATTTATATGTTTTACTTGCAATGCATTTTTTGTATTTCAGAAGTTTGTTGATTCTCATGAGTCATGATTACTGGTTATTCCTGGTACTCTACGATTTAGTGAATCAAATCAACGTAGTATATTTAGCCCACATCTTCCCCCATGATATCGGAGCTACTTCCACTTGAGGTTTTCATGATTTCATCAATGATCACCAAGGAAGATAGTATATTTCTGCCTTCACATGTAAATCTTCATGCTGCCTTAATATGCACGATTGCACTCAATTTCTAGCCTACGAACCCCACGGTTGATATTCTCATCTTTAGTTGCTCAAAAGATGTATCCTATTATCCCTATGCCTCCTTTTCTGTGTCAAATATGTATGCAATTCAACCACGCTGTCTGTAGATGTCCTCTCTCAATTGCTTGAGCAACCTCTTGTTTTAATAGAATCATTGTGGGTACTGGTGCTAATACTTTAAAAATCTCGTAATTCTACTCTTCATTTGCCTTCCAAACCCTTCTCTTAAAAATGTTCTGATTGTCCGGAGATCACCAAAGATCTTTGAGTTTAACAAATCATTTCTGAATCTGATAATAATGGTTATAGTATGAGTTTTTTGCATTTGGTTTTTATGTCAAGGATCCGAAAACAAATCAAGTTCTTCTCTTAGTGTATGTCCAGTTCCTGGAACATGAGATGTGAGTTGGTTCATTCCGGTTTAATGCTTGGTCAATTTTGACATCATTTTGAATGAATACATGAATGCTCAATATGGTTGCAGTAGACAGTGGTGAAGCAGATGCTGTGAAATCATAATGTTGTTATGCCATTATTCCCCGTAGTGAATATTTATCAATGAGATCCTTGTTATACACCGGATGAAAGATGACTTACAGGAAGTCCCTCGTAGAACATTTAGTGTGTGCATGGTCTTTGTATGCTTTTGTCTTTGGTTATTGCTACCCTGAAGAAATTTCACGAGTGTGTCTTCTTTGGCATTCTACAGGTTCTTCGTCACCTTGGCCGCATTAATGAGACTCGTGTTGGACATCATCGTGTTATCATTCTACAAAAGCCTCACTAAAAGACCTCGCTAGGAATTTCATACACATTGTATTAATTCCATAAAAGGGATAGCTCCCAAATTCCTCCATGGGTTATCATGCTAACTTGCACAATATTCAATTCTATGATGTGTATAGTTGAGCTCGGGAATTCAATTATGTTGCATAGCACAATGTGGATAAAAACTTTGATACTGAATTCAAAATGGGTACAAACCCCACAGGATCTCCTTTTCTGCTCCTCCATTATTTTTTGTGCTGCTGTAGACGAGCTTGCAAGGTGTGCAAGCATTGAATTTGAACCTGCATCTGTCCCCAGCCCAGCACTTTAGTCCAACCGTACTTCATTAACAAAACATGCTTCCACACCAGTAGCTTCAAACCAAGTCTACCGAAACTAGTCAATCGCTTCCAATTGCTTAACCTTCTCTTTAACCTTGTTGGGCCTTTAAGCCACACCTACTGTGCCAATTTGAAAGGTCTACTTAATGTTGCATTTTCTATCTGCCTTTGCCTTGCTACTAATGCTAGCATCCTCAGAATCAATTGCACTGAGCATTTTAGAGTGGCCACTGTTGCTTCAAGGTATTTTTTTAAAAAATTGTAATTTAAATAATAAATTATAAAATTAATGTTATTTTCAATTATTTTATGCAATTAATTGCACACAAATTGACAGCAATTAGTTGCGCATCAATTTGGGCGTTGCCATGTGGCAAGTTCTGTAGAGTTTGAGCATCAGTTTCACTATAGTTTGTCATGTGACACTAAGAGTTATAGTCAGTGTAATATAAAGGTGGTTTTAGGTGTTTGGTAAGAAAGTATTTTTTTTACTGGGAAAAAAAGATTTATAGGAATATGGTAGAATTTTTTTTTTCCGGGTAAATTATGAAAAAATATTTGGTAGACTCAAATTTTTTTTAGGAATGTTAGGTCAATTTTATGGATGCTATGGGAAAATAAAAATATCATGTATCAGATGGTATTTTTGTTTGCGAATATGATGTGTAAAATAGAATGATGAGAAATTTTTTTTTTGAGATTATTTTCAGTTTTTCATGTCATACATTGGAAACAAATTTGTCCCACTTCATTTTCTCAAGATTTCAGGGAAAATTTCCAGAACAAAGAGCCCCTTGTTATGTGGCAAGTGTGGGAAGCGCAATTCACCATAGCTTGTCACATGTAATTATGCCTAAATTAATGCGTAATTGATTGCATTATTTTTATAGATACTTATTCAATGATATTAATTTCAATTTCGTATTTATTTATAAAAAAATATATTTTTCAAATTTTTTAGCCTTTGATTTAATTTGTAATATTTTTTGTTAGCAGTTGGGATTTTATTATTATTATTATTATTTTGTTTGATAACGTCCAGTAGGGTTTGGTTACATGGTCATGTACGTGCAACTTCCGTATTTTACAGTACCGTTTTGAGCCACCATTCCTTCACATTGTAAGCATTTCAAAATTAAATAAAATCCCTGTTAGCATACAAATGAAAAACCCAGCAGAAACTTTTTTTTTTTTAATAAATCATGGATATCCCTCATAAGAGACAATCATGTTCGAGCCAATAACATCCATATCATGATGAGACTAGTTTTCTCAAAAAGAATTTTTTACATTCACAAGAACTTGAACTCAAGACCTTAATTAAGTGAAATCAAATATATATCATTTGATCCAGCTGAAACCTTTTAGTTGAAAATATTGTTTCAACTCTGTAAATTTATGGAACAGGACTTGCTTGGAAGTTGATAGTTGTTTATACTGACAATAGGTGTATTTTGAATGTCTCTCAATCTTAAATTGATCTTCCTATGGGGTTAATGTTTATCTAAAGTGAAGATAATTTCAATTTCTAAGCACATATAGATTAGAAAAATGAAAAATGAAGTACACTGAATCATATATTTGCTGGAAATAAATTTATCTTTGGTGGAGAAACCTTTTTCTTTCTATTGGAATTTGAATAATTTTGAATTATAGAAACTGATACAAGCACAATAAAAAAAATATTGGTTTACAGGAAGAGTCATTACGAATTTACGATGAAATTGGAAATTTTGGCATCATAAGATATATTAAATTTTCTTTAACTGCAGTGTCATGTGTAAGGAAGAAAGCATCTCAAGGCCAAAGAAAAAGCTGAAAAGATCAAGATCTTTCGTATCCAAATGTTAATGCAAAAATTATTTGAGCTCATCGCTAGTAAAAAATATGTTACCCATATAGAGTAATAATATGTTGGGTTTAGTATTTCTCGTGTTGTAGGAGATACATTTATCTCATATTAAGTCAAGATCTTTTTCATGTTATTATGTTAGTATCTCGAGCGGTTTTGAGAAGAGAAAATACGTAGTTGTCATGCAATCAAAATATGAGGAATTATGTCAGAACTCGCACCGTTAAATTAGGAAATTAATTAAATAAATATGAGATTAATGAAATAATTTCATAATTGACCCTAATAATATTGATAAGGCTTAAATAATTATGGTAAATGATTAATAATGCTAAAAGTCTATTTTCTGACGAAAAGTGCAGATATCGGTTCTGCCTCACGGTATAAATGCGTACCGATAAAGTATCCCGAAAAATTATAATAAGTATGAAAATATTCTTAGAAAAATATATAGAACAAGTAAAACAAGTTTCAAGTCGAAATAATGAGAATTTGTATCAGAACTGATACTGGCTAAGTAAAAGTGCGTACCGAAAAGATGCTGCGAAAAAATAAAATAAAAATATGAAAAATCTTAGAAAAATGAGTAGGTTCAGATTCCAAAGTTCGGGATTAAAATGCTAAGCGTAGCTATTAGTGCTAATACAGTGCGTTTAATACTTAAGTGGCCTATATAAGGCCTTGCACATGATCCTAGGTCATTTTTGTGCCTCCTATGTGCCTTTCTCCTTGTGCTCCAGCAGCTGAGTGCCTCCTCTTGCCACTTCACCTTTCCTCCCTCTTATGAGCCAAAGGTGCCATTTTTACTCATTGTTCCTCTACCAAAACACCATTGCCTTGGGTGAGTTGGTCTTGTGAGGGTGTGTGTTGCTTCGTTACTGAGTTGTAGCCTCTGGTTGGTGTGTTGAGGTGCTGAGTTTGAGAGTTGGGTTGTGGGAGCTTTTGTTCTAGCACTTTGAGGTTCAAGGAGTGATCTTTGGTGCAAAGAAACAACCTTTGATCACCATTTTCGTGTACCCCGAGAGTCAGAACCGTTGCAGCTGATTGGTGAGCTCCAAGAGCACCATTGTTCTATTCCAAACCTTGGTGGTAAGCACCAGCATCCTTGCCTTTGGTTTCTATAGAAAGAATGAACCTTGATGCATGTAATGATTAAAAGATAAGAAATTGAGGTTGGGTAAGGTTAAACACACGTAAAAATGCATGTTTAAGCCTCTGGAATCGTTAAAAGAACAACCTTTGGGTGTGATATCTCGCGAAATGCAGAACTGCATTCTGTCGCGAAATATCCAGATATGATATCCGGATATGGGCTTGGTGATATCCGGATATGATATCCGGATATGGCTTCGACATATAGGATATTCTAGGTATTTCAAGACAGTAATTGTACTGTTCATACAGAGTGATATTTTGGGTTTGGGGACCCATGATTGGCTAATGTGGACTTCTGTAATATTAATCTAAGTCAGAATCAAAGTGATTAAGGGCTTATGGCTTTGTGAGAAGCCTAAAGACATGGAACGTAAAAGGAAGACGTTGTCTTTATGTCATATACTTGTAGAGTATAAATATTAACAGATTGTGATTGTGATGTGTGTGGACTTTGAGCAGGTGTGGACCTTGGATTGGATTGATTGCTTCGAGGTAAGCTTTCGTGTCCTCGGTTTAGCCATTGTTGATTCCACCATACTCCATGGGGGAATGGTTTTATGCATGATGTGTTTTCATGTTTTGATGATTGAAATGCTTTTGAGCTGTTAAGTGCAAGGGTCTTATAATATGCATGTGTTGTTCCATCTAGACGGTAAGCCTGAGTATGTGGCGTCATACAATACAGTGATTCTTTGGGTGGGTGCAAGTGGCGTCTTGCACTGATGTAGGTAATAGATGTATGTAAATCCTGCATTTCTCTGGCCAATAGAATATCTTGACACACATGACATGATTATCCGTTGCATTGCACTGATTTTGGAACTGATATTGTATATTTCTTCTAGAACTTATATTGCACATGTAAGTGAGCTTGGGGTTGAAAAATCCTTGAGGACCCCTTGCCTTACTGAGATCTCACCTCACGTTTGGGGCACATATTTCAGGTTCAGGTAACTCGGGGGTTGAGACCTCGGGCGGCAGGAGACCGGAGCTTAGTTGACTGATGCATGATGATTATACTGCTTTGATTGGATGCTGCTTTATTCTTATTATCCTGTTATTGGACTTGAGACTATGTTGGGCTTTGTTTCCTTATTTGGTGAGCATGAGAGTTGTCCATGCCACATTGATTGACTATGTTTGACTGTAGTATTGAGTTATATAATTGTATCAGGATTATGGTCCGGACTATGTGTTTTAGTACTGTGACTTAGTTACTCACCTTTATTTATATATCGAGGTTATTCAGTGTATTTAGCTTTATTGCAATTTACATACATGCAATATTTTGAAAAAAGATTAAGTAATCAACTTGGTAATATTAATGACGTCATAATTGAAAAGAAAAAGTTATTCCGCATTTTAATTAAGCATGGCTTAATACGATGACATGTTAACAAATCGGGTATACACAGGGTGTTACAAATCAGGTATCTCTTCAATGGGAGAAGTGGGGTTTATATATGGGAATGAATATTCCCTAATGATGAGAGAGGGGGAAAAGCTAAGCCAAACCATTAGCCTTGCCTCCACTACTGTATCGAGGCATTTCCTCCATCGCATGTGTACGATGGTGAGCTTTACGGGGAGAAGGGGATTCTCTATGGCTCACCATGGAGTATCATAAGAAGGTTCCAATCTTGTATGTTTAGAGCCCAACTCTTTGGGCCT